TAGTCCACACGGGGGAAGTAGAAGATGTATCCTTCCACTGGGTGTTCCTGCAGAGAGACATGGGCCACACGATGAGGGCTGGCACTGCCGTGGATGCTGGTGCACGGCTCGTCCCCGGGCACAACCGTAAGGGTGCCGTATCCAGGGGGCTCTCACCGTCCAGCTGGTGTCCTTGTTGCTCTTGTACCTGACGGCGTGCTGCAGGCAGTGGGCTCTGGGGTACGGGGAGCTCCAGGTCAGCTGCAGCTGGTTGCTGCTCATGTTCCGGATGGTCAGGTTGACGGGTGCCTCCGGTTTCACTGCAAGGCACCGGTGACGCCCGGTGAGCACCATCCCCATGCCCCAGTGGCCTCACCACCAGCTGGGTCATGATGAGGCAGCCCTAAGGACCCACAGCCCTGCAGAGGAGAGGGGGTGCCCCCCACCACTCCATACCCAGGTCCTGCAGTTCCATGCGCTCACTGGGGATCTCCAAGGTCCTGCCACCGAGGCTGGCATTGACAAGGACATGGAAAGGCTGGAACTGGATGATCTCACTCTGGTTGAAGTGGCAGCCGATGCTGACACCCCGGTCCTGCAGGTACTGCTTGCACTCCACCACGGGGGACCTGTTCTCATACCTGTGCCACAGCAGGTTACCGGGGCTCCCCGAGACTCCACACACCCCAGCCCTCCCTGGGACCCCTCTCCCCAGTACATCCCATCCTGCTTGCCCTGGAGACACAGCCTCCCCCACCCTGGGCTTGAGGAAGAGGAGCAGGCTGAGGCTGGGACCCACGATGCTGGCAGTAGCCCCACCATGCAGGGATCCACTGCTGGACACCCTGCTGTGGGGCTGGCCATGGGGCAGGGACACCTACCAGTAGTAGAGGGAGTAGTTGGCCGTGAGAGTCTCTCTGCTCCCCCACACGCAGGTCATGTACTCCTCGTTGAACAGGACACACTCCACCCCTGCAAGGGACAGATACCGCTGGGCACCGCAGTAGTGGGCAGCTGTGCCAGGGCCCAGGGGTGCACCGGGGAGACCCGGCCCATACCAAGGGTCCCTGCACATCCCCATCAGCCTTCCTCCACGTGAGGCAAACAACCCCAGCTTTTCCCGGTGGAGCTG